GAACACCTGGACACACACCTGGAGTGCAGGGGGAACACCTGGACACACACCTGGAGGGCAGGGGGGACACCTGGACACACACCTGGAGAGCAGGGGGAACACCTGGACACACACCTGGAGTGCAGGGGGAACACCTGGACACACACCTGGAGAGCAGGGGGAACACCTGGGGTGCAGGGGGAACACCTGGACACACACCTGGAGGGCAGGGGGAACACCTGGGCACACACCTGGAGTGCAGGGGGAACACCTGGGCACACACCTGGAGTGCAGGGGGAACACCTGGAGTGCAGAGGGAACACCTGGACACACACCTGGAATGCAGAGGGAACACCTGGAGGGCAGGGGGAACACCTGGAGTGCAGGGGGAGCACCCGGACACACACCTGTGCACAGAGGGCACACCTGGGCACACACCTGGGCACAGAGGGCACACCTGGAGCACAACTGGGCACGTACCTGGGCACAGAGGGCACACCTGGAGCACAACTGGATACACACCTGGGCACAGAGGGCACACCTGGGCACAGAGGGCACACCTGGAGCACAACTGGATACACACCTGGGCACAGAGGGCACACCTGGAGCACAACTGGGCACACGTGGGCACACACCTGTGCACAGAGGGCACACCTGGGCGCACACATGGGCCCAGAGGGAACACTTGGACACACACACCTGGGCACAGAGGGCACACCTGGGCGCACACCTGGGCACAGAGGGCACGCCTGGGCGCACACCTGGGCACAGAGGGCACACCTGGGCACAGAAGGCACACTTGGGCGCACACCTGGGCCCAGAGGGCACACCTGTGCACAGAGGGCACACCTGGGCGCACACCTGGGCACACACCTGGGCACAGAGGGCACACCTGTGCACAGAGGGCACACCTGGGCGCACACCTGGGCACACACCTGTGCACAGAGGGCACACCTGGGCGCACACCTGGGCACACACCTGGGCACAGAGGGCACACCTGTGCACAGAGGGCACACCTGGGCGCACACCTGGGCACACACCTGGGCACAGAGGGCACACCTGGGCGCACACCTGTCTCCGCAGGTTCTCAGCCGAGCGCCAGGCCTGGGATCAGCTCCTGCAGCAACACCTGGACAGCGCCCAGGAGGCCACCAGGTGAGGGGGGGGGGCTGCCCCCTGGGCACCAAAACCCCCAGTCTGGGGCATTTTGGGCCATTTTGGGTCATTTTGGGTCACTTTGACTCCCCCTCAGGCTCCTGGAGACCCTCCTTGTCACCCCCCCAGACACCAAACCCCCTGATCTGGGTCATTTTGGGTTATTTTGGGTCACTTTGACTCCCCCTCAGGCTCCTGGAGACCCTCCTTGTCACCCCCCCAGACACCAAACCCCCTGATCTGGGTCATTTTGGGTTATTTTGGGTCACTTTGACTCCCTCTCAGGCTCCTGGAGACCCTCCTTGTCACCCCCCCAGACACCAAATCCCCTGATCTGGGTCATTCTGGGTCATTCTGGGTCATTTTGGGTCATTTTGGGTTATTTTGGGTCACTTTGACTCCCCCTCAGGCTCCTGGAGACCCTCCTTGTCACCCCCCCAGACACCAAACCCCCCGATTTGGACCATTTTGGGTTATTTTGGGTCACTTTGACTCCCCCTCAGGCTCCTG